TGATAAACCTGGAGATTAGTACTGAGGTAGACTGTATGATACCAGCAAAGAAGCTTGCAAAGATGGGTTGCATGAGCATAGAGAAAATGAGAAGTTCTAGTCATTTGCTTGATGGTCAGTTAAGTTGATGTTTTCACACTTTTTATGAGACCCAACAAGACCGAAACGGCCGCACGTTGTTTCTGAACTTCTCTTCGTCTGCACACGAAAGATTGCAAAACACCCTGGGCATCTGAAGACTATGCAGGTTTTGGCCTCGAATGTACAATTGTCCGGAACAAATCTAAGTGTTGATAGATGTGTAGTTTGGTAAACTATCAATTATGATAATAATGCGGTTGTTCAATCAAGTAAAGTAAATCAGTGATCCATAGGCACACGTCAACCGTACGAGGTAACTCACCCAGTGAATTTGGTTATCTTTTCAACTTGATGATGGCTCGCATTACGGTCTGGTAATCTTCCTGCAAACGATACTGATATGGTATTGATCTGCTATATTTTACAAAGCGCTTGCGTGCTGTTACAATTGATGTCTATATAAGATAGAAGAAAATGAACAGTAATTTGACAGTCCTGTTTGCAAGGTAATGAACTGCGTTACTGAAGAGTTCACGCTGTTTATGGCATGAATAACTTAGGTGGATTAAAAAATATTTTTCATCATAGCTTTTGTCTTTTTTATCCTGTGGCATGCATACAACTTCCAATCGATCCATTATTTTTCAACCTGTTCTTTAATCCGACTTATTTGGTTTCACGCATTCTGGACATGCCGTGGTTTAGATAATTGATCTCTGAGCTGTTTGTTTGTCTATTCTTTCAGAATCGCGTGACTTGAGCTTGCCCACAGAAAACGTGACCGTACTGACTTAATGTTGAGTCACAAGAGCAACTATAATGTGTTTCACATTTACGGAGCTTGAAGACATCACGTATTCAGTTAAGCCGCCAGCACACACAACGTCTGTATTTTGCACGGTGCTGGCAACAAGTTTATATCTGAGTGGGATTACTATTTGACGCGCACCATATATTTTTCTTGGTTGCTAATGTTCACCTTAATTTGAGGACAAAAATTGGAAGACAAATGTTGTGAGTGGTTAACATTTTGTTTAATCATCTCGTCACTGACGTGAAACAAGCTAGTGTATATATTTATTTCATGTGAGTAATGGAGGATTTGGGTAAATTTCAAATGAGAATTCTTCGTATACATAGCAAATGAAGCGTGAACTGAAAAGCTCGGAAGCACTGGACAGCTGTTTGGACCTGGTTGGGTCTCATCAGCAGTGCGAATCCATCGACCCGACTGGGGATTGAACCCGGAACTTCATGGACAGAACGCAAGCATGCTACCCACTACGCCACCGGGAAGCTGACGTGAATGTTTCCAACCGAGTCATAACCCTGGGGGCTAGTGCTGAGTTAAGCAGGGTCCGTGGCCCGCAACAAACTTGCAAAGATGGATTGTGCTATTTCGTGTAAATAGCAAATGAAAAACGGTCTGTTCAACTGCCCGGTGGCGCAGTGGATAGCACGCTTGCGTTCTGCTTGTGAAGTCCAAGGTTCGATCCCCAGTCGGGTCGATGGGTTCGCACTGATGGGACCTAACCAGGTCGAAACAGATGCCCGATGCTCCCGAGCTTTTCAGTTCACGCTTCATTTGCTATATATACGACAAATTCTCATTTGAAGTATATTTTTATGCCATGATGGATTGATCAGCTGTAGTGTAAGCATGTGCACACGTAAGCAAATATTGCCAAAAATGGAAGTGAAAAATCAACGTCACGGTAAGCGGTATGTCTGCGTCCACAACTTTTGGGTGTATAAAATCGGGTGACGTAATCGAATAAGCAACTCTTCCCTAACTAAATGAGATTAATACAGTGGTTGATTTAATTAAATAATGGTAGTGTATATAGCGAATATAGGGTGAACTGAAAAGCTAAGAAGCACTGGACAGCTATTTACATCTGATTCGGTCACATCAGCAGCGCGAATCACCGATCCCAACTGGGTATCGAACTTGCATCTCAGTTAGAAAGCAAGCTTAGTACTAGTTAGCCTAATACTAGTAGTCTTTGTCACTAGACTCAGACAAATGATTTCGAGATATCAAGCGAGCTGGTATGGAATTCTCTGTGATTGTCTAGTGGGAGACTAGGGCCGCTGAACGATCATAGTGGTATTGGCCATCAGTCGGAGTTTCTGGCATTCGAGGTGTAAATGAATTTGGTTAGAAATGGTTTTCATTATATAGCTACGTAAAGGGTGACGGCAATGGGATGATAATTGTTAGGATTAAAAGGCCCATCATGTTTGGCAATCGGGAGAGATGAAACCGTTTGTTCAAGACTTCAGAAATACACTGGATTGAAGCAAAAGACAAAATAGACAACGGAGAAGAATGAAAACATCGTACATGTACATTTTGAAGACAATCAGGGGAATTTCGTCCGGTTTGGGTTATTTGCAACAGTTAGGAGACAAAAGGGTTTATGTATCAATAAAGGAGGAAAAAGGTCGGTTATTTATACAGAAGGTGGGTAGGATTGATAAAAAACTGGCTGATGGGGGTTTGGAGTCAGGCGGGATATTACATACCTTCGTAATGTTTATGAACTTCAGAAACGAGATGGCCAAAGCAGTTAACGGGACAGAAGTTGTGAGATACAGCTTTGGCAATGAACCACAATATTTGGCTACCGATTGGAAGGAAGGCTAGATGTTCTATCGTGCGATGAATGATACGTCCTTTTTCTCTCCATATATCACCAATCTTTTTATATTGGAATCACCCATCCAACTTACAGAGGAGTATGGCATCCATCAGGTAGCATGCAAGCTGACTGGTTATTGATTATATAAATTTACAATAAAATTTCGGGAATTTGACAGCGGCCATACTAAGGTTGCCTGGTGAAATACAGAAATAGAGAAGATAGGCGGCAGTCGCGGGATTCGAACTCAGAACCCTCAAGTGGCTTTCTTTACGAACTTACGATTTAAACACCATTGCCAGTCATCTGCCAGACATGTTTTGTTAATTTGCAAGCGGTATTGTTATTTGGATGTAAATACTTCACTCACTGATATCAATTTGTCTACACCAGGCAGAAGAGGTCAAAATGAAGCTAAAGACCGAGGAATATGCGAGTCTGCTGAAGGCAAACGAACATTTTCAGAATGTTATAGGGGAATTGGATGAACGGAACGCTAAACTGCTCATGGACAACACTTATTTAGACCAGGTGGCAGAAGTGAGTTGGTAGCTTCAACGCTCTTCCGGATTTATCACTTTTGGTTTGATTTGATCAAACTTAAACAGTCCCATTCTGGGAATCATTTCATAAACAATTTACCATCGTCGTTTGACAGAGATAAAGTAAGATTATTCACTGTAGGAAACGGACCCGTGAACGAAATTCAGACGACGTGTTTCGAAGAGTTGAAGCAACTGACCAACTAAATACCCAAGTGTCTAGCATGATCTGTGCAAGTCAGAGGTGCAAATCACCAACACAACCTAGTAACTTTAAAATTTCCGCTTTTCTCATTAAATTCAGAGCAATGTTATTTGTTCCATGCATTTTCTGTCATTTCTTCACTTCTGGCACAAATGCCTGTCGGTACAACTAGAATGTTAGAAAAAAATGGAAAGCCCGAGGTTAGTTCTAACAAAATCAAAATTGCATACAGTAAACAAGTAAGAAATTTGGTACCTCCAACCCAAAATGGATCGTTTTCATGTTATTTCCTCGACGTTGGTATGGGTGTTTTTGGTAGATGATTCAAGGAAAAAGGATAAGATCTGGCATCCTCAACGCACGAATTTATACACTGTTCCTCTGAATCTGTCCGTCACAATTCATTTTCTTAACCCGGTTTATCGGAATCAGCTGCGTATCTATAATAAAAGATGATAAATTACCTGAAAATTAGTGCAGTTCGATTGTTGTCAAGAGAGAGGAGCTGTATCACAAAAGACTCAAACGAACAGACAAAAAATGAGTGGTCAGTTTTGTACTCCATGGGAGTCTGAGATTGGGAAAAGACAACCAATTGTCCATCTGATGATAGAGTTCAGTAAAATGCGCTTTTCAGAGAATGAATTGTGTTGGGACACGTTCAATAACAATTATTCGAACCTGAGATTCACAGAGTCACTCCTGTGCTTTTTTATTAGTTATTAGCCTCTACACTGGAACACAGGAAACTCTTTCTTTTCTAAAACACAGAATCACTATCTTTTCGTTCGTTTTCGCATTTTACGACCACTTCAGTTATTATGCTTCCAAAATAGGTGATTCCTATGCACATATGATATTTATACATGTTGATAGAGACAAAGAACTAACCGCTGACCAGAATATAAAAACTGTGGGAGATGAATACTCTCCCAAGGATTAAATTCATACCAGAACTGAAATAAGCGGGGCTCGTTTGTATGAATTCACCCGGAAATTGAAAGGGGAAAACAAATTTAAGAGGGCATCTAATTGAAAAAATGATAGCTGATTTATATCGATGTGTTCTAAGATTTTCGTATCACTATTCCATAGATAGTATCTGGTTGAATGTTCCTGTCAATATAAAGACCGAGATGAGTAAGTTTTGTTTATCTGTTTCTTCGAAATTCTGTAAAACTATTTCCGCATTTAGACAGTCTGATTCAATTTATGCCCACGGTTCAACATGAGCTTGTGGTCAACTAACCATCCATACCCATAGATTCGTTCAGTAAATTGGCGTCCAAAGGGTTACCATATAGTAGCTTTACTTACGGGGTAACTGGCGGAATAGCATCGGGGCTGCATACTAAAAATGATTGGTGTGGGTTGATACTAAGCCGATCACCATCTGATGAATAACGATTGATCGCAGCGATGAATTAATACTATATCAAGTAATGTTAATTAGCAGAAATCTGTAAGACACTATCCAAAGTGGTCAGATTTTTCAAACCCTCGTACCCCGGTCTGAACCCCGTTTGGATTCAGCGGATCAACAGCGAATATACACGAATAAACACGCGCAGAAGAGCTGTACAAGGATTCGGAGCTTTACTAGAGGAAGATATAAGTTGAATCTAGGTTAGGTCTCCTGTGGAGACCAAAATTTTGAAAACTGTTTTTATTAAAAATTGAAATTATTTTCACCATTATTGTTGTCAACTGAATTAACTTTTTTCTCTCTCTCTTTCAGAGACTGCAATCTGAACTAAAGGAAATTAAAAAAACCTTACCACGCAGACAGGTATTGTTCGAACAAAGCTGAAATGGTGCTCTTTTCGCAGCCTTTTAAACAATGTTTACGTGGGCTTTGAATTGGTCGCAGCCGCCAAACTTTCACTGTAACAAGCATGAACTCAAACGAGTAAAGTGTAGTACCAGAATACNCCAGAATACTTAAGACTTCTGTCCCAGAAGAATTTGTCTACTTTGATCAACGAAAATCAATCTTTGCTGTGCATTAGATTGATGCCACATCATGCTACACATGTCATTGTGCTAGTGAATAACTAGTAAGATTTTCGGAATCTACCATTTTTTCCTTACAAAACGACTAAAGATAGGAAGGAGTCTTATGAGTACGTACATTTTATGCTCTTAGGTACCAACTACCTCACATAAATCAAAGTCGGTATCTCAGTTTGTAAGAGTTTTCTTGCAGATTCAGAAAATATCCGTCTCAAGTGAATTGTTTCCTTTTTAATTCACGAAAACATAATTCATGGTGTTTCTTTCCCCAGAAGGGATCACTTTTGCGGATAGTTTATATCGGGGATTATTTTTCTCTGTTTTGTTTTTAAAGTTCGTTGAGGAAAGGGGAACACAGACGCACTCAATCAACACTCGAAGCGGAACAGAATCAACGTATATGGAATGTACCAAGTGTAATGCTCTAGAACAGATGATTCGAGATTATGTTCATTTGTACGGGAAATTGCATCCGCAAAACGGTGTATCCGGGGGCTGCTGCCTCTCGACTGGGGATAATCTCGTGGGAGCAGACAAACACGACAGTTCTACCGGAGATCTCACAGTTATCCGAACTAAACCCCTAACATATCGGATAAATAATTCGTGTACAGTTCTCGCTCATAACCCACGATCATCAACGAACACATGCAAGAAAACAGTGAGTAATGAAGGCAATTGTACTGTTCGTGTTATCTATCAGTTTAATATTCCCAACACTGACCAGACGAGAACCAGCGAGTTTGAATTGTTCATTGGTTGAATAATGTTCGTGAATATGAATTCGCCAGTCATGATATCATTAATCTGTTTTGTTCTCGATAGTAGTGCCAAGCCTCTAAATCTAATGATATCCTTGTCTTGTTTTGAGTATGGGGTTGTTAAACAGACACGGCAACCAATTTGACTATCCGCAGTAGCTTAATATTTCACTTCGTTTCAACTCAGCTCATCTACTCACTTAATCTATCCTCAATGGTTATTACCCCGGTTTCTAATGCTACTCGAACTGTTCTATCACCCCTTTTCCACGAGGTGCCTTCATGGACTGCATGCTTTTTCGTATGTTTTACATTCTGATTGATCATGAGCAGTATCAAGTGACTAATGACCGAAATTTGCTGGCCCTAATTGATTCCTCTCTCACTGATTGTTTTGTTTTACGGTGTCCGAGAAACTCTAATATTTGGTTGTCTTCGGTGAAATGGGCTGATACAGATGAGCTTATCGAATGACTGAAATTGTGTTTGCGATAACTAGCACTTTGAGCAATAGTTTAGTAAGGCACTACTCACTTTTGTGAGCAGTATGTTTGACACGCGCAGGGATAAACGGTACGCGGTTTCTCAGAATATTGAAAAGTGAAGAAAACCTCCTGGAGTGAACTGATGCTTTCAGCACTGTTGCTACAGAAGATGAGAATATACAACTAGATTGTTAGGTCTATGATCCTGAGCGTTTGTGTAACTCAGTTTACCCAAACAAATGTCTTTCTTCCTAATAGGTGATTTTCCTGAGGCTGATAGTGTACTTGTGGATATGCAACAGTACTACTACTAAAGTGTGATGCCAAAGCATACAATGAAAATTCAGCTTTAGGTTGTTAGATTTTACAGTACAGCTGTGAAGAAATTGATCAAATAAATACAAGAATTAATTGATTCTTTGATGCATACAAGATGAACCAGTTAAATAGCAACTCGTCTCTACCTTTTCCGAACCAAGCAAACTCGGAGGCAAAGATAGTGTCTCCGGTGTCAGAACCGGTTGAGTGATGATGATGTAGGGGCGTTTTTAAGGGAATGTTCAAGGTCCAGCACTGGAAAACGCTTTATATTGCTGGATTATGTTTTCGGTGGTTTTTTCTTTTTTCTTTTGATTCAACATACCACAATCGGTATTCCCTGAGGGGACTAATTAGTGGTTAGGAGCAGATCAATACGGGGTTATTTCGTGGATTAAACTAGATAAATGCATTATGTCTGTCTGTCTGTTTGCTGTCAAATGCACCTACCAACTAGCAGTTTTGTTCGAGTTTGCGTGAAGGTTTTGTCCAGTCACCTCCTTTGTCGTATTTCTGAATAAATTCAAATGGTTTTGAAATATTTAGGCAGGAAAATCAAAAATCAAAGCACTCTTCTCTGCCTTTATAAAAATAGGCAATAAACTGGGGAAGTATCGGAAAATTGCTCGATGAGATTGTGATAGAAGAATTACAAATTTTTCGCAGTCATCTGAGACTATTGAGTTCATGCGAACTGGCTAATTCACTTCGGACATCTGTTTTGAATCGGAAAATGGCAGAGCTCAGAACTTTTCCATTGTGTCGCTTTTGGCAGATGTTCCGATATGTTTAGTGTCATTAATCATGTTGGTATAATTCTGGAATATTTCAGTGTTATAAACAGTGGCAATAAATCTTTATGCGGCAAGTTGCGAACCGTATGAGGATTTTGTAAAAATAGTGGTGTTAGTAAGATTCTTGGTTTAAACAACTGACTTTATAGACCAGCTCATATCAAAGGTGACAAGGTAGACAGAACGTTGACGATCGCGACGGCCGGAACGATCATCACGATCACCGTTCAAGTCAAGACACTGCTTGGAATCGTCTAATAAGAAATGTAGTTCGATATGTATTGTTTATATATATGACACTCAGGCACCTTTCTAAGGAGATTTGATTGTTTTCGGTTATGGGAGCATGCTTATTAAGCTGATCAAAACCTGTCCAACTGATTGATTTTATTCCGTTAGTCTTTCCACAATTACTGTTTCAATCTATGGTTTCATTTCTGTTAACTATTGCTTCTGAATTTCAGATAACGAGCTATCGTGAGTTTCAGGAAGAAGCAGATAAACATCTGATGGTAGGAAGTTGCAGAACACCTTCCAGCATTCACAGAGGATCGTGGGATGGATTAAACGGGTCTGTCATAAACAATACACCGTTGGAGACTAGGTAATGAAAGGATTTCTTTTAGATCAGCACCGGAACAAAATATTCTGGTTGTAGTGGATCACTGGGCTTTTGTGTTGATGTCAGAGTCCCTCTTTACTTCATCATTAGTTTAAAGCTGTTGGTTGAACCGATATGATGATTTGCATGACAATTCAATTAACTAATTTTTAGCAGAAGTTTGTTTTCCCGATATTTTCTCATGTTAAATCCTCTTGAAACTGTTATTTGGTAATATCAGATGCGAAGGTGCTATATAATAATAATAATACTGTTCTCATACATCCTTCGATTGGTCACAAATACAAAACCACTCTCAAAATTCGGTCTGTGTTCAATCGAAAATTAATCAGGTATTTGAAGAAGTAGGGATATCGAGCGGTTCTGATGGACTATGACCATCCGAGTTACGGGTAAATGCGGTGATGTAGATGCATACCACACAGTTGTCCAAAGCTGGATAGGCCTGCTTCCTTGTTAATTATGATATCGGGGTAAGTTTTGGTTCAAAATTCTAGGATTCAGTGATACAGAATCCATTACACCTCTAATGGTTTGCCAGTGTTGCGGAATTGATTGTTCGAATCAAGTCAGTAATCCGGAAGTTGTACCGGATAGTAGTAATCCAGTAATCTCAGCATGTCGCCTAACTATTGTAGACATGTTATACGTATGCTACACGATACTGTTTAATTGATCTGCTGCTGTTACCAAAAATGAAAGTGTAAATTTTTTGAGAATCGGTAGCCTGTAGCATCACAAAACCGTTTAACGATTTTGTAATAGGTAGTATATAACGGACTGGAGGATATTTACTGGAGGCACAAACGGTTTCTAAGTTCCTGCTCCTTAGATACGCGCATCTGGTTTACTCCTTGCAGTTCATTTTGTTTCTGCATTCCCTAGGTGAATTTTGCCAAAAATCCTCGTTTCATTCGAGGGAGTGAGTTTCAAGCGGAGATCGTCTTGAATATTGGATATAACGATTGTTTGCCCATATTTTGTGTTCTATTTGTGCGAAGTTTCTGTCAAGAGTGCCTGTACCACAATTTCTCGACCGCAGAATGTCAGTGATTTTCATGCGAGAGAGAGATAAAAGCTTTAACAATTAAGTGCTATTCAAAGACCGTTTGCAACAAAAACTTTCACCTTAATCTAGTCGATTACCTCTCCAACTTTAGTACTGAATTTCACCATTCCCTGTAAGGTCCTTAGCATATTAACTCGCTTTATCGCAAAGCTGATCAGTCGCGAAAGAGAACGACAAAATGCAACTTCATTTTTGATCGAAAATTTTAACTGGTTTTATAAATAAATTTGTCCATACAGATAGATAGTATATTCAATATGTCCACCATATTGGTTCACCTCTCTGTCTCTCTTAGTGAGCCCATAAAATACAATGCTTATTCACTTTACACACTTAAAGAGTGTGATCCGGTCAGTCAGCAGTGAAGTTCGATTCCCCATTTAGTTACCATATGTAGACTATAGTCTGATTATTGTCCTGTTTTTTAGATCTCAATACAAACAACGTACGATATATGATACGTGTTTTACACTATCTAGGATAGTATTGTGTAGGAAGGACACCATCAGTTTGTTCTTGTAACCAGGTTCACTTAACTTTGATGTTTCCGTTTTGGGAACGGATTCCTAGATAGAAGGTCAACACATCTTTTGGAAGCATGGATTTTTCTTGTTTAGTATAATCGTCTCTGCAAGGGAAGAGTCTAAGTTAGGCAAATGAAACGGATGTCAAAGCTCAGTTGCACAAAACATCCCACTGAATCACATTATCGGAGTAATTTGTATAAACGGCACGCATTTGTTGTGATTGAAACCGGTCATTTTTCCCATTCTCTACAGTTGTTCAGGGCAACGTGATTGTCCACACACGGAAAAGATTCGCGCAATTCTAAAGCAACTGAAAAAGAAGGCAAGTGTATCATGATAAACTATGCTTGTGATTATTCTCTAAAATAGAAAAAGAAGCACATTACAAGTGTAGTGAATACAATAGACATAACATCAATTTTCCCAGCCAGTCATATATAATATGTTCCATTCATGGTTAATTTGTAACAATAGTAAGTAAGTAATAAATAATAAGTAAATCACTAAATGGGTTTTATTCAAAATACACCTTTCTCCAGTGAGAAGAGAAAGACGCTGAATGAGACTCCGGTAGTTGAATACTTGCCAAAAGCCCTGCCTCCAGCCACACTTGTGAATCTCGCCAAAAATCAGCCAAGCCAAAAAGCTAGTTGTTTGACCGTTGAGATTGCTTATGCGGTAAATTGTCCTGAGCCAGTTGGTATTGATCATCCATAACTGAATCGACTGGACAAAATGGAGCTCATTCGGGTCTACGTAAAGGCACATTGAATGGAAGTGCTGCGTATGTGTGAATATGAACGGTGTTAGTGGTATTTTGGGTTTCTAACCAGAAATCAGTTGAATTTTACTGAAGGATATTCAATAAGGTATACTTAAAACTTGTTAGACATTTCACTGTCGCGAGATTACTTCATCACACAAGAGTAAACGTTCACAGTGATGATAATTATTATCATGTCTTCAAGGGTTTCTTGCAGAGAGACCATTTGAGTCAAGAAAGGTAGCTTTTGATCTACTAAAAACAAACCGTTATCAAAATGTAGTTTCTAGAGTTATGCGCCAACGACGTTTACGTACAAACGTGCATGTTACGTAATACACATCAGGTGATCTGCACGCATGACAGTGGTACTTTTATCACCCGATATTATTTATTATCGATATGTATGTATATGTATACATATACAATTGTCAGTTTCAGTTTCTACAACTATTCACCATGCATTTTCTTGCAGTGGTTTTGGTATTTTGGATGCCTAGGAAAGTTGAGAGTACAGTGGAAGAGAAAACGAAGAATTTCAGAGAAATTGAGACAATGCACAGCGCCACTGCTTACGATGCAACCATATCAATCAGTGTCTCTAAGCACTAATTGCACTGATCCCAAGGCCCCATCAAGGAAGCCTAACGCGACCTATCCTACCGAGTTTCCTGGTTAGGGTTTTCATACCCACATGAAAAGTCTTGGTTTGACCACCCTTGGATTTTCCATCCACTGCCTCCGTCGGAAAATGTTGCACCATTGCAGCACATTTAGTGGCATGCGTAACACATGCTCAAAGTAACTTAATTTATGGAGGTCGACCACTTGTTCTGCTGGACGACCGCGAATACCAAAAACTCTGTGCCTAATCCCAACATGGCTCGTCCGGTTTCCCCATGAGACTCGTGCTATGCTACTTAGACAGCGGTGTTCGAACACCGACGGTATATCTTCTTCATGTTTTCGTAGTGACCAAGTCTCTGCGCTGTATAGCAGAACTGGTCGAACTGCCGCAGCATACACAGGACCCTTCACGGACGCCCGGATGTCACCCCGGTGAAACAGATGTTTCAGCTTGGCAAATGCCTATAGAGACTTCTGAGCTGGCGATTTTATTCATAATGCGTTTACTGGGTGAGATATAGTTGCTCAAATAACAAAACTTGTCTACTTACTCCATTACCTCCCCATTTAGAGTGAGGCTAGGTGCTGCACCGACGTAGTCATATAGCAGCGTTTTACACCGAGCATGGCTACACTAATACTCAAACTATCCAGAAAAGCTTGCAACGTACCTGAATTTTTATTTAGTAGTACACTGTCGTCTGCGTACTCTAAATCAGACGGTCTGCTACTACTACTCTTCGCGTGTGGCAGACAGTCAGCGGAGTATGATCCCAGCCAGAAGTTGAGACGCAGTGGTGATTAAACTAATTTCCTCTGTGGTTTTCACCCGAGGATATTTCACCTTTGTTGTAATTAGGTGAGATGACCGATTTACACCATTCCGTTGGAACCAGTTCTCTCTCCTATATTAGGCGTAGTATTTTCATCAAACCCAAGGCCGACAGTGAACCTCCATCCCCAAAAGCTGATGGGAACAACGCACTTGGACCGGAGGCCTTGTGTCTTGTAAGATAACATATTTCTCGGAAAACCTTCCTTTCAGATAGAGGGCTAGCATAAACTGGGAGTATTTAACCTGTTGAGGTGGTGGAGGATGATGTGTCTGATGTCAATGGAAGAAAGTTGAACAGAGCCTCGACGCTTTCAGCCAATTTCTCAAGACGGAGTGTGCCGTCGGACTCATTAATTACTTAAATTGCACCTACTTTTCTTGGATCCGTATTCTTAGTCAGACGGAAAATATTGTGATTACCAATAGCCGCAGCTTTCTTCATCGCTCTATGCTTTCCTATCCACCGCTTCTCGCGGTCATACTTCAGAATCTTCGTGAGCTGGCGTTTAAAGGATTTACTAGCTGTGTTATTTGTGGTGAGTCTGATAAGATCCAACGTTTGTGTTAGGACCATGCGCCAGAGTTTACCGTTGGTTTTATCTATATTCGCATAGCTTCCTTGATTTATTTTTTTGTGTTCATTGAGCCCTTTGGTTAGTGGTTTAACTGATGGGCGATCGCAGAACTCTGATTTCAAGCTAAATTTGCTGCTATCGCTGACATTGTACCGTGGTTGTCCTTTGCCGATGCTTTTATTGCAATTTAAGGAGGTGTAAGGAGAATTTGCTTTGTGGTAAAGGTGCTGGTTACTGCGATCGGCAGTCTTGATTTACCCCCCCCCCTATTCTTGATGACGATGTGTTCCATTTGGGTCCTTTGTTGTGAAGAAGTTAGCGGTTTCCAAGTAAGGTGGTGTCGTTTCTTATGCATGAAGTTGGTGCTTGACAGGTACAGTTCGTGGTCAGCGCAAAGTTGGAATAGGCAATCTCTGTTGTCCGTCCGGTTGGCTCGGATTGCATGTAGTCCGCCAAGAAGCCTTTCTTATTCGCCCAGGTATCCTACTTGAGCATTAAAGTCTCCGGCAACGACTTTGACGCCCGTTGATCGATTTTTTGGGGTACTTGATAGAGGTCATTGTAGGATTCGTCCTTGATTTCAGGTGTACTGCAATCGGCCGGTGCATACATCGACACGACAAGTAAGCCTCGACGCGTCGTTCTGCAGCTGTTGACCCATACTGAACCGTTGAGACGTACAATGCACAGTTGAATACTTTTTTCGACTGGTAGACTGCCCCTCCCCGTGCTTATTTTCTGAAGTGACTTCTCTAGAAGCGGAGTGGATAGTCAAAAGAAGTCAGGAGGTGCCCAAGCAGCTGGCCTTGTGTGACTGAGCTTTTTCTGACCTGTACCCACTGACCTTTCAGTCATGATTGGATCTGTAGCTGTGAAAAGCCAGCTTGTGTAGCTCACAGGGTCATGGATGCACGCAAGTCATCACATCATGTCAAGATGCGATCTCATCGTGGTGGTCATATAGAGTTTGAGCATCATTCACCCCTTGCGGATCAGACGATTATTAATCTGCTTCCTCTCGCTAGAAAATGTCCGTGGGAGGTTGATTTTCGTCACCAGTCTATGGTATACATAAGCAGATATGGGATTTTTATCAGTATCGATGGATTGGAACTGTCCATTCTTTAGACTTCGCCCTCACGTACATTTCTCATCTCCTCCAATCAACCATACACTCAGTAGCACTAGACTGGAAGTTTGCTCTTATTAGAGCTCATCTGTAGTGCCTATATACACCATCCCGTCCAAGATTTAAACTCCGGACCCATTGCGTGGAAGGTGTGTGTGTTACCTCTGTGCCAACCAGCTCACGCTAGGGCTGAACCGAATTGCCAATTCATGTTTGTTCAGGTTGTCTTCAGAGTTTATCAGTCAGTTTAATTTGGCCCGGCATCAACGAAGCGAGACAGTTAACTATCTGTTAACTCCAGTCGAAAGCCTCCCACCAAGTCATGTCTTCCTCACAGGTTACGGACTAACTGGCAACAAGCCTACCAGGGTGGGTTAACCGTTCGCATTTAACTCACAGCTACTTATGAGTAGTATTGTGGGATAGTTGATGTTGATTGATTACCCGTGTCGAAATGCTGGGGAACCCGCTAAGTGGTCTCCAAAACGTAGGTACTGAATGAGCACCTGGAGAAAAGCTGTACGACTTAGAGTACGCTGGTGACGTCATCTCTCTCTTCGAATGTATGGAGAACGCGCACCGCGCACCTGACAGATTGTCAAGTTCTTGTACCCCATTCGGTATGTGCTTTCCACCTCGAAAGTGCAGTGTAACCGCCACACAGGTTGTTGCCTACTCATGCTTTGAAACTGAATGGCCAAGTATCAGTTGTAGTGGATTGCTTTTCCTACTTAGGTAGTTGTGTGACAGATGATTGTAGTGCAGCGAAGGCTGGAAAAGCGTATGCAGGACTGAAACACATTTGACGGAGAGGCGACGTTTCACTGAAGTCTAAAGGTCGTGTAAATGGTGCCGCTGTTTGTTCAGTTCTGCTTTGTGGTCGCGAGACCTTGAATTTTCGAGTAGGAGGTGGAGGTCAAAAGATGACGTGGAAACGGGGTATGAAGAAAGTGAAAGAGCTATTACGTAGAGTAGGTGTCTCGTGCGTTTCAGGTTGGGGTCCAAAAGACTGCAACTGGTTGGTTGGAGACAGTGAAGGATATGCCAGCGAACCGTGTTGTTCTTGTTGTTATTTCTCATCAGGCCAGAGTACTTGAAATGGTATGTATGCACGGTTGGATTGTGTAGTTTGTGTGTTGACCATAGAGGTTCTCCTTCCCCCTCCCTCAAAATAAGTCCATGCCCTGTCCACCTTACGTATCAGCCACTAACCTTGTATGTATTGCGAGTTTGACAACATTTAGTAAAGTTAGCTTCACTGTATTTCGCTGTACAGTGATGATGATGATGATCCATGTCAATGTTTATTAGAATCAGATGTCGGCTAAATCAATTAAGATTTCAACCTAGAAGCGCGGATTGAGTGACCGATGGAGATTATGTAATGAATATTTGTTTTAGAAAATAAGTGAACCCCTTACTACGGAGCTTCAAGGACGAAGCAGGTGTCTAGTGATTTCTTTTGACAAGCACAAATCAAACTTCGTCCTAAATACACCGCAAAATCTTGTGCGGTACGGTGTGGACCCCAAGGGGTTGACCCATACAAAATCAAGACATACAGGCTTTGGTCATCTGTAAATTAGCAGGAAAAATCCAAGCAAATATTTAATTAGTTAGCTTTGGCTTTACGAATGGACGAAGTGACCAAATTTTAACACGGCGTGTTACAAGAACTGCGATGGCTCATTTTTAAAAACTGTTTACAAGTTTGACCATAATGCAAATGTATGACCTATTCACATTTTGAGAAATTTTACAACCCGAGAAGTGCTAGTTCATTTTGTT